CACGGCCGCCATCGGTGCCGACACCGGCAGCACGCCGCCCTCCGCCGCTGCACGGCCGCCGGACGTCTGCGCCAAGGTCAGCTGCCACCAGCCCGCGGGCTGCGGTCGGCAGGCGCCGGTCGAAATCCGGCATCTCGCATTCAATGCTGGAATCGACTCTCTCTATCTTACGACTCGGGACTGGCTGGATCGATTCCGTACAGATGAAGGTCTTTTGGCCCCAGGTCTCATCCGTTGGCACAGCATTATGCGGCGTGGCAAGAACGAGGTAGCAGCGGACGTGAGAGTTGCCAGCTGGCCTCATGTACATACATGACGGCAATAGCTGAGCTGACGGGGCTACCACACAAATGACACGCGGTGCCAATGGACATCATGAATATGCAATGAAGTCTAGCACTCCCCTATGGTTCAATACACAATGGGCATATATATATATATATATATATATATATATATATATATATATATATATATACATATACATATATATATATATATATATATATATATATATATATATATAGTGGAATTGAAGAGGGATGGACGTTCGTTAGCACCTAAGCCACCACGCCAACACGCGCGTATGCCAACACGCGCGTCAGGAGACGTGCTGTGCTATTTTCGCTTCACTTACCACGCTGCTCCATCCCGACAGCATGACACTCCACGGCAGTACAATGAATGCGTTAGAGCACAATGGTCCCTCAGCGTCGTTTACAGTGTCCGCAGCGGGTTCATCAGCCGGCGCTGAACTGGAGCGGGCGTCGCTGCCAGCACACGTGCGTGGCCGATCCAGATGGCTGCTTAGGTGTCCGGGTCGTCAGACTGCAGGTCGCCTTCGTAAATGCGATCTTATGGAATTCTAAGATCGTGCCAGCGTCAGGACCAGGCCGATGTGCCCGTGCACAGCTCCCAGTCGCTCCCATCCAATGTACCTGGATAACAAGTCTGGCGTACAGCCACCGGTACTTCTGGGCGGCGGTGTCTTATGCACCGTCAGGAAAAACGGTGCCAGCGCCGGGGCCAGGCGGAGAAAACCTGCCAGAAGATGCGCTCTCAGCAGTGTCTTTCATCCAGAGCTGGCACAGCACATGCGGTGGGACTGGCAGGGCTTCTAGCCGTACCTAGCCGCCAGGAAAGTATGGACTCGCGCGTTCACCCTCCCATCGTAGCGCGCCATGAGAACCAAATGAGAAGCCCATGTGAGACTTCGTAGGGTGAGATCTGGCTCGCACGTGACGGACTCGATCTTCCTCCGTAACTCCAGTTCAGTTTCTAAAGCTGCGTGGACCCATGCCTGTGAGGTAAGAGTCCTTCGGGACCACGCCTCTCAGGGCTGTCCACCGGACTCTGTCTCACAGGGCGGTATGGGCGACTGTTCTCCTCTGGCCGCCCCCGTGGACCTCCGGGCCTGTCTTTATATAAGAAGGCATGACCGAGAAAGGGGAAGCTTAAAAAGAAGATAAAGCCTGAGACAACCAGTTTCCGTCCTGCTCCAAAAAGTTTTCTACTCAACTCCAGCGGAAGGCGTTTCACCAGACATAGGAAATTTATTCCACGTTGCCATATCACCACTATGTCACCCTCCCCCCACCCTATTCCAACACATGGGGAATGTCAGAGTTTCGGATTGCGGAACAACTGAACAGCACGTGACTGAAACAGGTCCAGATATCCGCGACCAGCCGTGACAGCGACATGAGATTAACATATCTATCATATATGGACAGAGGAGAGGATTGGCGATCGTACTGAAAATGTGTGGGTCTTTGTGTGCTCGTGCACCACGCGCTTCTTCGCGCGAGCCCTAGACCCACCCTTTTGAGTTATTTTTAAAGATCGATGTCAAATCTCAGCAATCAGAACAGATGAACACGGGACTTCAAGTCTTATTGTTGTTGGGGCTTTACGATGCACTCAGTCGCCGAGGCCAAACGGCGTCACTGGTCTCTTACGCTAGCAGGGAAGGCGGGCACCGCGGGCATGAAGCCAAGTACGCGGCGTAAACGAATGTACAGCTGGGCGCTGGTATCTTACGGCTGGGCGCTGCCGTGCTCGCTGGCAGCTTATGGTGCTTGTGGTTGTGGCAGCTCTCGGTGTCGTGCTTACTGGCAGCTTTCAAAACTCTCACACCCGTCCTGCGCCAACATTCAACCAGAAAAGTCGAATGCCACTTTTTCCGGTCTCAAATACAAGACGTCGCGATCTAAACCGCAATTGAGGGCCGTCCCGGTAAGTCAGTTGGTTACAGCGCCTGTCGTCCTCTCCATCCGCCCTTGGCGGGGTGGGTTCAAGCCCCTTCAGGCGCTCTCTATTTGCACTTGACAGATGTGGCCGCGGCCGGTGGCAGCGGCCGCGCTTAAGGTCAGGTGACGTCGGAGGGTTGGACCGACCGTGCCGAACACTGTGGCACGGTGACGTTTTGGTCGCGTCCCAATTCTGCCGTTGACCTGGAATCGCACGATCGGATGGCGGAGGTCAGTGCTCACCCAACAAGCATTGCATAGCGTGAGCTATGATCCCTGAGATACTCCCATCAAAAACGTTCGGGTTAAATATATAAAAACCGGCAGGGCTTGGGCTATGCAACCTATTCTGGCGTCCGTTCCTATTCATTATTATCCAGATCATTTGCATACCTACCGTAGTTAAATCTAAAAGGAAACAATGTAAGGTTTCGCGCATCCACTGATTTTGATGATGGAATTGTGAAACTAGGCCAGGCTGGAAGCCATACCATTTTCAAAACATTTTGTTTGTGAATTGGTGTGTGCGTTTTCTGTGGACTCCGAGATACATCTGGCTAAATTCACTTATGTTCTTGTATTATTTGTACGACAATACGACCACGGATGGAGTCATCTTTCTAACCTCTCACCGCAAAAGGCTTCATACTGGTAAAGGCGTTACTACGTAACCAAGTGGGACCGCATGCATGCTTGGCTAATTTACATTCGTGGCGGGTTTCCCGAAGAGTTCTTTCAGCTGTCCACTATCTGCACTCGGGAACAAGCACCAATCTTTTTTCAAAGATCACAGTGATAAACGAACGAAGTCTCGCGAGGCTTCGAGCGTCTCCTTCTCACTGGCGGGTGGTTGATGGAATGCACGGTAGACTGTTTATATCGCGTAGAACGCGCAGTTTCTCTAGTATTTATCTCTAATATCTCTCTATATCTAATCTAATCTAATCTAAATCTAATCCAAATCTAATATAATTATATCTAATATCTCTAATATATATGATAATAATAATAACCAGCTTCTTCCAATATTTCAAGCTGAGCGTTAATGACCATATTTATTAAAAGTACTTGAATAAGTCCGATTCCACTCGAAGCGTAGCACAACAATTTTAGGTCAAGTTTTGGTCGCCTCTTCAATCAGCGTCCGGTCGCAGACGCCATCATTGGCACAGGGCTTCTTAGCCCTGGAAAGGAGCATGCTGCCACTGAAAAGGAGTCGGCATCATCTTCCAGTGCAAAACTAGATGAGGCATGCGTCAGCCGCTGCAAGTACCGACGTTTCAAGAGCCGACATCACCCCAGTCAGGATGATACCGCAGCAGCCAGGAAGGTTGGCAACGACGCCGCCAGCGGCATTCCTCCTCTGTTCGATAGGTTACTGGAACAGCTCACACGCTATGTACAGACGTAACAGTTGGAACAACACAAACATATGGACGAGGCACGCGCCAAAGCCGCGGTTGATGGTCACGACCAACTCAAGATCTCAAGACCGGGGAGTGCTTGCTCCCCCTCCTGTGTGAGGTTGCCTCTCAATGCAGCAGATGCGTTGTGGCGGTTTTGAGCGTTCCAAATAAGAGAGCGCATGGACTTGTGGCATTTACAGGAGCTTTGGACGCTATCGAGTGCGAGCTTAAGACGATGGTGGATGTGGGTGACAAGGAAGTGCGCGTGTCCTGCCATCTGTGCGCCGATCTTAAGTCGCTTATTTTGTATCCAGAGCGCCAACGCGCGCGACGTGCGCCCATTCTGTAAGTGCGATAATAACGTCTTCTGCGCGGGTTACAAGTGCGTGCCGCGGTGCTGCAAGGACCCAGACGGCATATCCAGGCTGTCAGGCTTACCGGCAGGTGACGCGGGGTACAACTGCATCGATGCACCGGTTCGTCACAGAAGACTTGCTGTATACCTACCTCACTATCACCTCATGCGAGCGTGTAATTTTCTTATCTTAACGAATCTTTGTTCTTTGAATTTACCAGCTCGGTGAATTAATAAACGAAGCTTTTGTAATTCAACCGAAACTGTATTTGGTTTTCTACGGGCTTATCTTTCTGTCCCCTATTGCATCACTAGTTGACGTGTCGGATTTCAGCCTCACTGTTAGCTGTCAGCTTTTCGCTGTCATTATCATACCGGTCGCAACTGACAGCCCAACTGTCGGCTGCTGGCCAATCTGTCAGCAGCCAAACCCCGCGTCGGCTATCAGCCGTGTGTCTGCCGTCTGCCCCAATGCCGACTATTGACCCTGTGTCCGCTGCCGCCTCACCCTCCTCCCCCTGCCGTGTCCCGACCCCGTGACCTTTACAAAACGACAGCCGCCAACACGCACCGGCGCGCGCCCCGCCTCGCAGGTAAACTCGTCGCGCTCGCGCTCGGTGATTGGAACTAATGGCGCGAGATGAGAAGTCGTCATCATATTAATTAGGGCCGCTGTCGGGGCGGGCCGTGCGTCCCACGAGCCCGGGGTGGCGCCGCCGACACGGGCTCGCTCTCTGGGCTGTCGTCGTGCGTCACCGCCGTCGCTTTTTCGACGCGTCACAGCGTCCCCGGGGACGCCCCGCGCGCGCCGACGCACAGTTTCGCGCCACGCACCTCGTCTACGCGGCGTGTATTCATGATCACACACATATTGGAGACAGAGCACCGTCCCGGGCGCGGTTTGTACACCAGATGCGACGGCTGGCTGGCGGCGCCGGGCGGGCGGCGCGCGGCGGGGCGTCGTGCCCGCCCAGCACCGCGCATGCGCGCCTCGGGGTGAGCACCGGAGAGGCGCGGGGCTCCGCGCGCCGCTCCTGGCTCAGCTCGTGCTGCATGACGGGTCGCGCGTGCGTCTGGACGCCGCGTGCGTTCGCCGCGCGCGCCCTCTGGTCCGAGTTATGGAAACGTTATGGTGAAGCCGACCCCAGCGGCCCCTTGAGCTTGGCACGTGGTGTCCGCGCTGGACGTGCGCGTCGCACGCAGTAGCACGCAAACCACGTGGCGCACGGACAAGTGCAGCCGACGATCAGCCTGAGGAGCTCAGTCTGCCACGCAATCAGAAAACTCACAGGCTGGCGGGTACTTCAACAGTAAGCTGAAAAGGAACATTTCACCAAAGCACGCGAGAAACGGGGACACCAGGCCAGAGTCCTTCAGACGATGAGTAAAGCTATTACCTATTGTTGACATGTTCAAAATACTCCTGTTTACCAAGTTAAAGATGTTTGACTGCAGAAATATATCAACAAATGAGTTGTTAATTTAACGTTAAAGCATGTTGTCTGTCATAGGCCAGCAGTGATGACTACTTCATTGACATCACATCAGTCACATTTGGCTCTCAGCGACTCGATATCGTGATTTCTCGAATAATTTTGAAGTGCTTTCCTGCTTTAAGTTGTGTCGTTCATTGTGCTACGCAATGCAATTTTCACAAATGCAATTAGTCATTCAATTTCAGGATAGGTCAAATAGGGTGACGGAATCTGTTTCCGAAATAAGTGTAGATTTAAGAAGCTGGGACCTATTAGGCTCCACACTCTTGCGGGAGGTGAGGAAAACGCTTGTCCGGCGAGATTTCCTTGTCTGCGTTTAACACTACGGGATCTCGTTGGTTGAAAATAATCTCGCCGTGTTAAAAACCTAGAAAATCAGTACAAAATCTACGTGCTGATCTCTTTGTATAGCGATCTGTCACTAAAGACTCAAACTTAGCAGCTAAAACATCCTGCAAGCTAACAAACAAGACCATATGATGGGCTCAATGGCTACATGTCTTTCTTCCTGTACATCCATGTTACTGGTGCCCATCTCGAATCAGGTCAAAGCTGGTGATGCTTTGTTGCGGGGACAGTGCTAGATTGCAGTTCAACACATCGCTAAGCAGACAGTGGCCCGGCTTCCCCAACTAAAAGCGCCATCGCGGGGGTGAAATGTTCCATTCAACTCAAACGGCCTGTTGTTGCCAGCGCGCTGCCTCAATACATTGGCCCAGACCTAAGCGAACAATGCTAAAAATATATCTTGCGCCAAGCACACCACTTCGCCGATTACATTCAGAGCATCTCATTAGCGCCTTCAACATTCAGCCTTTGAAACCAACGCATCAGATAACGCACTCGTAGACTGGTACCCACGGCTAACTCTTTTCTGGCAATACTTCTGTCTAGTCTATGATACCTGTGGCAAACAGTGGACGCGTCAGGTCAACGTCCCAGTGCTAGCTGGTGGACGCCGTCCCCAGTCCAACCCTAGACACTGCACTGCCGTCATGTCGCCCCTAGCGTCCTCTCCGACCCTTCACCGCCGCCCGGCCGCACAAGATCTTCTTGAACGCCTGGCGGAAGTCCGGACTGAAGATGGTGTAGATGATGGGGTTCAGCGTCGAGTTGAACCACCCGAGCCAGAGGAAGAAACTCATCATAGCGCCGTTGAAGAAGCAGTCATTGCAGAGCGGCAGCAGCGGCGCTGTCACGAAGAACGGCAGCCAGCACATAATGAAGGCACCTGTCACGATCGCCAGCGTCTTCGCCGCCTTCCGCTCGCGCTTCGCCTCAAGCGTCTCCTTCTTCGTCTTCTTCTTACGGTGTTCGGCGTCTCGCGGGATGACGTCCACGCTGCTGACGCCGCCGCCGCCGCCGTTGCCGTTGTTGGTGGGCGTCGCGCAGCTGGAGAGCTCGTACTCCGACACCCGGCTGCCTGTGAGCGTGGCTGTGTCGGTGGCCGGCGGCGGCGGCGGCGGTGGCGGCCGCTGGTACCGGCTACGCTTCCCGTTCGAGCCAACCTTGTGGCGGATGCGGCGCCGTGCTGCCTGGAAGATGCGCCAGTACAGCGACAGGATGGCGCCCAGTGGAACGTAGAAGGAGGCCATGGTGGCGAACACCTGGTAGCCGACGTCCTGGCTGACCAGGCACTCCTGGTTTACGTTCACCCTGTCGACACGGGAGAGGGTCACGAGGGAGACATCCTAGCTTGCGAGGCGCTCTGATATCATGTTCACGCTACGGAAGACGCTAAGAAGGCTGGACGAGAACGCGAATGAACAATGCAGTGCAGACGCAGTTACTGTCCACATTGTATTGTTCCTGTGTACGATAATGGGTACCTGGCAAGACAGTCTCGAGAGATAATCATTTGTTTGGATTGCTTCATATGCAACAGTGCCTTTGTAAGTCTTCAGGAGATGTTCCCACACTAGCATTGTTATACAGGTACCTAATTTGGTGCCAAATCTGAGATGCACAAGAGTGTGAGAAGCAGCACTAAAACTAAACGACTGCGGTGCGTGCTATCGAAATAGCTGTGAATGACAACTCCGGAGGACGTTTTTCATTATCGTGTACCTAATTGCCGCTTCGTGTTTGCGGTATTTGTTATTTATATTGAACATGCTGTTTGAAGGTGATACTGGTAAACGAAATTCACCCCGTACGTGTTGAAATAATTTGCCACATCTGAAATACCCCGAGCGAACCGTTAAACGCACCCTCTTGCGGTCTTCATCGTGTTTTCTGCAGTAAACGGCTCGGAACTCTCATCTAAAACAAAACAGTATGATACCGTACTCCGTCAGCGCTATACAGCAATAAAGGCCAGGTTTATGGGCGAGTACCACAACCCATTTCGTGCCACTTCGCCGACAAGTGCTCCAAGTTTGCGTGATCAACCCTGTTCACAGGAACGAAACCGGCCTGCATGCCAGCTAACTGGAGTGAAACCCCAATTCGTTCCTACAATTTCAGAGCAGTAGAGCCAATTTACTCCTGCTTTAATGCCCACCTAGGACAACAAACGATATCACGATTGCATGCTAATTTCGTCTTTCTGGCACGGCAAACTAACTTTTGCTGGTTCCCCGGTGGGCAACGTGTCGCGTTGTGTCATCGGGTGTCGTGTGTCATCCCACTGTCCAGCACGGCTTTTGGGGTGTATTTACCTGTCCTCGAAGTCCGGGTCTTTCCAGCCGAACACGGGGCCGACAGAGATGGCCAGCGCGAACACCCACACCAGCACGATCATGGTGAGCACGCGGCGCGAGTTCCGCGACTGGATGTAGTTGATGTTGGTCACTGCCCAGTACCTGCCGCACCCAGAAACGCGTGGTCAGGCGCCGGCGAGCACTCGCAGGGAGCGGGCTCAGCCGGTGCGTGGTGGCGCCAACTGCGTGACAGCAGTCATCCAATTACAATACAGGTGGCAAAAACGGAGTAGGCGGCGGAATCAGCACAGTCTAAGTACAGAAGCCCGGGATCCAGTTTCTGTCTTAAAACGGACTAGTGGATGTCAGGACTCTACGATGTGTAGGAAGAGTGCAATCTGGAAAAAGGGTCTCTAGACTGCGAGATCCACTGTCGTCGTAAACGCACATGTGCGCTATGGAACGCAGGGGCATGGGATTAGGTGCGGGTCACTGTTTTCATGCTACCAGTTCACATGATTGGCAGTGACCTGTGTTTTCCTCTGATAACAGGTTCACATGGTAAGTCATGCCCCTGTGCCTGTAAAATGCATATGCGAAATATCAGCCACGGTTCACTGCGTCCAGACGGATAATTCAAATGAGTGGGTACGGTAGGCTTTTATTGCGTGGCACAAGAGCACGCCTGCAAGCCAAGTTGTGGTACCTCGCCGGCTTCTTATACGTAGGCACATATGCATGACCGGAAGACCCAACCTAGCATGACGTAGCCGCCAAAGCAAAGCTGAACGACCCAAAATACAGGGTTTCGCTGTTCTGTGCGGCTGAAAAAGCCGAAGGCATAGTTGTCCGTTGAGCTGATACTGCATAGACTAAGTGGGAATTTCAGGCCCCATAAAAACAACCGTTGGCACGTGCCTTGCTTCCCAGCAGCGCTTGCAGTCATTAACATAGATTATATGGTTTATAATGGCCCATAGTTTATACAATACAGATAATGATACCGTGATCAACCACAGACGAATGCGTGCAGAATCCCAAGGCAATGATGTACAGAACTAAGCGTCCCCGTTATCTCTCCATGATAGTTTTTTTGTTTGATGCCGAGAATGTTTTTTTTTTGGTACGGATGAAGACGCACGGGAAACATGCGCCTATATCGTGTTAGCTGAGTCCAACTGCCTCCAAAGTGCCGGACTGACACCGGATATTTTCGGTTCGTTTAGCCGCCGCTCAGCCCTCTGCCGCGTTTAGCCGGCGCCTGGTGACAACGTCGTGGGCGTATGACGCCCAGAGCCTTGGACCGATCAGTCGGCGCTCGGGGGCTCTGTCGACAGCCAGATGCTGCTATGTCGCGTTTGATCTCAGCGCGGTCCCGGCAATGCGTCAGTGCTGGAGTTCACGGCCGGCCGCGCCCGGTTCCACATAGCTGGAATTGGAGGCCGACGATCTACGCGTTCGCGCTCAATCCGCCCGCGGCAGATCAGACAGCCAGCCGCGGGCGGTGTGATGCTCGAAGAAGCCCGCACCACGGCCGCGGAGTGGCCCCGAAGCAGCGCGTGCAGACTGTTTGCTGCAACAGATTACACCGCTTGGAGTTGAAGGAACTTGGTAGACTGGTGGAGACGTACTCGAAACGTTCATGCCACGTGATCCCGAACAAACGGGAACCGACGACCGGTACTTTGTATTTCAAAACCATACACAAATTGTAAGGAACGAGAACAGTTTTATAGCTCTAACTGCTGGAAAACGATGCAACCCACAAACGTGACCACTTGCGAGATTGTGTCCGACACAAGTGCTATATCGCACATTGATATATTAATTCTGGTCTACTATTTCACCATCATTCACTCAAGGTCTTCTTTGAGATTCGGCACATGTCTATGTTTTGGATAGTCTCCTGACTTTTTTGACGGAAGATACTGTTCCAAGATGTCACGTGCCGCTCTTCCAACATGGCCTACGCGCGCAGTGGCCTTGCCCGACGTGCTGTGCCATCTCTGACTGTTCTTAACTCCAGGTAACGTTCTAGTTGCACTCCAGAACGGTAATTGTGACCGATGGAGAGGGGGGGTGCAACAATAATTTTCCCCCAAAAGTCAATGAAAGTAAAATTATGAGCTCCAAATTACGCTTGCATGAAAATCCACCTCAGCATATACCTGTACACAACCCTGGTATTTTGAAGGCTTTAAGCATTGCCAAGACGCTCAAGTATTAAGGACAGTATACGCCTCGGAAAAGTGATATAATGATTAAACGGAATAACGCCAATAGAAACACCCAAGCTGTGCACCTTAGAATATTTAATTGAACAAAGCCTGACCACTACAAAACAGGCGTGACAATTTCATAGATTGTGATATTTGCAAGACCTCTAGTAAAAATTGCATGTGCCAGCCCTTACAATGTTCTTAAAATACTTCACAAATTCACGGAACTGGAAGATCCTCCAAAGGGTATAGGAGTGAGTTCAAACAAAACTTGTGGATCATGCCTTGCTTTCTGGTCGTGTCATGCCATTGAGCACTGAACATTCGTGTGAACTCGGAGCTGGAGGCATCTGTCTCCCCATCCCCATTGTCCCAGCAAGTTGAGGTATCTGCAAAGTGTAGAAAGAAAGAAAATGGGAAGGTAGTAAAGAGAAAAGTATAGGCGCAACAGCCAATCTAATAAAATGAGCATCGCACCCAAGTTATGATAACATACCTTTTTTGTCCTGACTCACCAATTAAAAAAACGGGCATAAGTCAACACCTTGTTCCCTTTAGCTAAATGACTAAATTCCAAGTCATCATGCGCTCATCAAGGCTGTGACACATAGCCTTCGCGACCCCTGAGACAAGCATAACAGCCCCAAAAGGGCCAGAACCATCCTATTTCAGCGCATTGGTTTCTGAAGCAGATACGCCACCTTTCAACTACCTCAACTCTGATATGCTGCCAAGTCTATGTCTGGTCTCTTTTTAGCATGCTTGTAATGGGTGCGGATATTAAAAATATCATTATTTATATATCCTACATCATGTCATCAATATCCTTGCCCATCAGTGCATCTTTGTTATATTGCGCCAAACATGTTTTTGCAACATAACGAAGTTCGTTATTACTTCATTGATCCAAATAAAATAGTTTTGGTCTTCGATAAAAAGTAGTCTATGCAACGTTTCCCTACCATTCTGAATGAGCTTACACTTTTGGAAAGCGGCAAGGTACAATAAAAATAACGGAATTGACACCGATTCTTCTAGCGAAAAATATAATCTCACGGTTAAACGGACTTCAGCTCTTCAAGCGAAAAATCCGAGCTATTGGCTTCATTTAACAAGCATGAAATTTCGTGCTTTCTAGATTTTATCTTCATGTTTTATTTCAGTAAAAGAATGGCGTCCTAGAAAAATCCTAGCTCTTAGCCCACTGCAGGCAAAATTTCTGTAAAACCGATAGAAAGCTACTGACTTATCTCCAAACCAAGCTTTCACTGTCTCCTGTTTTGGATTCACAAGAGGTTTCAGCAAAATTAATCATCCATCATAATAAATATGTAGTTCACCACACCGTTCAGGGATAATTCGTAAAAGGTAGAATAATAAGTGTGACGGCAGACGCATCGGGGATATCTCCGGATGCAAGCATTTCAGAAAAAGCGCCACGTATGTGTTCAACGTATTTGGCGCCACAATGATAACTTGGCGTGCATGCTTCGTGACAAAGCGAAGAGCGTGGGATAAAGCGGGTTAAGGGGAATGTTTCTTATTTTGAGGTATTGAAGCAAGCATCAGATATGATGATACAAGCTCATTTATAGCAGTGCCTTTTAAGTCGAAAAGACTGCCAGCACAATTCTCTGCTCAGTAAATATGCTCCTCAATACGTCATGGTTTGATTGCGTCATCGTGCCGTACACAACATTGATTGAGAGCCAATTGGCGGCCATCGTATCTCGGAAATCGTGTTCACGAACGCCAGACATGAACGCCTTGACAATTATATTTTTATTTGCCTTGATGGCCACCTGCCCTATGGAATGTCAGGACCTGAATGACGTTACCGTGACGTCATGAATCCTAATGTGACTTTCAAATGCTCTCTCCATTTTCGCGGCGTATAGCACAGAAACCAGAGGGGCTTAGGCCTTAAGAAGGGCAGGGCAGAGTTGTGAACAGCACCGGAAGGTCTCAAAGATGACTATTTCAGTTCGAAGCCCCACATGGTTGTGATACACTCGCCTTAAGTGTGTTTTTTTGGTGTGACAACATTTGATAAATTGTATCTGACGTGTTTCCGGAAAATGTAACCGCACATTATTTGCCTACACCTCTGTGATTTAGCGCATGTATCTGTAATGACTCTTGCAACCGCAAGGCGTGGGAAGGCTCGCGTCACCTTCGATTCTATGCCGGAGTGGCAACTCACCGCGCGACGATGGAGCGTCAACTCACCACCACCGAACGATGCCGGAGTGTCAACTTACCGCACGATGCTGGAGCGTCAACTCACCACCACCGAACGTTGTCGGAGCGTGCACTCACCGCACGACGCTGGAGTGTCAACTCACCGCACAATGCTGGAGTGTCAACTCACCGCACGATGCTGAGTGCCAGCGTGCCGCACGCCGGGCGCGACGCCGCTCATAACTCGTGTATTTATTGGCGTTCTCAATCGCGCATGGCTCAGCACGCGGCCCAATGCGATACAGCTGTGCTAAATGGCGCGAAGGCCGGCCTGTCGGGGCCGTTCCGATTCTCCATAAAAGATAAATGGTCTTTTAATGGCAGCCGTAGAGCGTCATCTCCGAGGACCTGATCTGAAAATATGCGCCGCTGGCCGGCCACTCGTTTGACACGGCTGGCAGCGCTGATTTAGGGTGCGGGCAGCTGTCGCCTGCAGATGAGACGACAGGCCGCTCGTACATTATTGGAAAGGCTCGACCGGAGCTTCGGCGAGAAGCCTCACACTCAATAGCAGATCAGCGGGGTCACCTCTTTCGCTGCTCCTTTGTGTTAAATTGCCAAGTGGTAGATTTTATCGAGGACTTGGTCAGCCGCCGCTGAGAAATTGCAGATCCGAAAAGTCTTCTCAACGAGTAGGTTAACAGAATCACGAACAGAAAATACGCATATAACACAAACATAAGCGCTTTTCTCAGTTCCTTT